GTTAAAAAATATGACTATTTGAATAGCACACAGAGCATGCTTTAGGGCGAGTGATTTTGATAGCTCATCTTGCAGCACGCATACACAAGTTGAACTTAAAACCAACAAACTTATCAACAACTTACGAAACAACCTCCGTGTAACGTGACAGAAAACATGTTCCAGCGATAGATGGAATTCCGTATATTTAATTAGCAGCAAAGCTTACCCGGTTAAGTAAGGTAATTAGGTGCGTGTACTCGGTGATGCCATCATCCTACCAACCTCCAGCTACCTCCTCCCGATTCATGCCTTCCCGTCCAAATTCTTTCCACTTCGACCGAAATTTATTGCTGCCATCCAAACCCAAAATCAAACGCATGATGGTATGTGTCCGTCCGGAGATGGAATATTGTGGCGTCCTTGGCGGCTAGAGGCCCCTCTAAATTAATCGTATTGTTGGTTGGGAAGTTCAATGGAGTACAAATATCTGGACAAAGTATAAAGTAGAGTCCTAACTTAACCGGGGTGTGATTACCCTGCTTTTTTACGTGTTACTCCCTCCTTCCAAAAATCTAAGATCTATTTCGTTCTTTGGTTTCTCCAAAAATCTGAGTCCTATTTGTAATCATTATATGCAAAATTAAATTATTGATCGGAAATCAAGAAGACACTCTAATACTTATTGGTTGCATGTTCATTGGTTTTGCCACATGGTGAGTGAGTTAATTGCTTCTTGGTTTTGATGAAAAAGAAATAGGTCTCAGATTTTTGGAAGGAGGGAGTATTATTATTGGTATTAATGAATATTAAAATTTTAATCATGAGTTGAATATGTAATTGCTTATTTTCAGAATCATAGCGATTTGATTAAAAAATAGTACTTTGTCAGTTACATCTTGCTAATTATGAATTTCAAGTCTCAAAATTGAATTAATAAATAGACTTAATTAAAGGTCAATATGGGCACTATAACTCTATATTTATTAGCACCGAATTTATTAAATTTTGAACAAACTAAAATTAATGAGTCAATAGTATTTGCAATGAATGTTCTATTTAATATGAATTCTTAATACTAGTATCTAGATAATAATTCACCTAATCAATATATATCCTGACTTTTAAGTAATTAGTATAGATACATATAGACGTGTTATCGGATTTCCGAAATTGTAGCCAATTGCTGATTGTGAAAATAGCTATCATATTAGCTTTCCTGGGAAATCAGAATTGCTTGTTTTGTAATTCTGAATATTAATTCCATTTTCATTATTTAAAAAAAATAATCCCGATCATTGGTGAAAGAAAGGTGAAAATCCTGAACATGTTGCTTTCGGTTTCACGCCATTAGCTCAGCAGGACAGTACCTGTCTGTATCCTGTCCTAATTAAGCATTGAGATACATGTGACAAATCGCTTGGCTAGCAGCTTTCAGAGAAGGCAAGTTTGGTACAGGAGCTGAAATTTTCTACTCTACTACCCTAGCTAACACGTACTCTCGTTTTCGTTTGAGTGTGGCGATCCGAAGTAGAGATATCCCAAGGAGCTGGAATTAATTAACCCTCGAAGACTTCTGCAGGAGTAATCAAAACAACTAGTTAGCAACAAGACCTAATTAACAGGGCCGTGAAGTAAGCACCTATGCCCTAATTTAGCACAGGATTTGTCACTTGACACAATATCTCTTTTCTGCCAGAATCAACTTGAAGACACTCCTAGTTTAGCTGTACCCATCGAGATGAGATATTCCAATCCAGTCTCCATATGTGATAGATTCGATCAAGTAGGTGACTTTGATCCTTCTGCCAAAGTGGGGGCATGCACTTTGGCAATGAATGGAAACCAAACAGAACAGTGAAAGTTCAGAGGAAATCGCAAGAAAAAGAGTACTCGGCTGAGTTTAGTTCTAAAATTTTTCTTCAAACTTTTAACTTTTCCATCACATCAAAACTTTCATACACACACAAACTTTCAACTTTTTCGTCACATCGTAGTGAAAGTTCAAAGCAAGTGAAGGTGAAGGCTGTAGATTAGGACAGCACACATGAGTGACTACATAAGGAGGACCTAATCAAAATGATCAGTGATCATTGCCCTTTTGCATGGTAGACTATTCAAGGTTTTCAAATCTCAGGAGCTAGGCTCAGATCCAGCTCTTCATGCACTGATTCAATCAATGCAGTGCCTTGAATGATCGGGAGAGATATGATAGTATGATGGGCTTCATCTTCAGACAGGAACATCTCAAATTTCCCACCCGAATTCTGACTTCAGACAGAGCTGACCTTACGAGCATGGTACTGCACAGTAATGGCTTTGACGGGTCTACTAGAATGTAGTATCATCAAATGGGCGTCTGCATACGGGAGAAATTTTTGAAAAAGAATAACAATAAAAAGTAGTAGCAATCGACGTGTGCTGTTGCTGCTATTGTTGCTATGGTGATGTTTCCTGGATCTAGTGCATGCCGAATGGACAGACAGAAAGAGAACCCTGAGCAGTTGACACTAACGCCACACGATTGATGAACTTTTGGACCAGGCCTGTGCCATCGTGTGTGTGTGTGTGTGTGTGTGTGTGTGAGTGAGTGTCTCCGGATTGCATCGATCTTTTGTGACCAGCCGAAATGCATCTTTACACAATGGCAGGACAGCGACGCCACATCGCGTCACAGTGCAAAAAAGACCGGGCAAAAGAGGATCATGCAGGTCGTCTGAGAAGCTAGCGAGAGAGAGGATAGCAAGGTCAGTTTCGAGAGATATTTAGCAAGATATTTCTGCAGCTACTTTGGATCGAGGACGATCCCTGCGACATACTCTCTCCGTTTTTTTAATATACGACGTTGTTACTTTTTGATACTTCTGATCATTTACCTTATCAAAAAATTTATGTAATTATAATTTATTTTATTGTAACTTGATCAATCATGAAATAAACTTTAAACATAACTTAAAAAAATATATTTTAAAAAAAAATTGAATAAGACGAATGGTCAAAAATTTGTCAAAGAGTTAACGACGTCATATATTTAAAAAAACAAAGATTGTGATATTTATTGCCGTGCCGTTCTTTTTTTTTATTAAAGAAATAATCATATGTTATGTGTATTCTAATTATATGGAGATCGAGAGTGTCCTTAGAATAATTATATGATTTTGATGTAAGATTATTAAAGCTTCCTTTTCATCTTAAAAACGTTTTGCACGTAGGAGTAATAACAAGCAAAGGTGATAAAAGTAAACCTAGTGCAACTACGGCCTGTTTAATTGGTCAGAGGCATATGCATGGCTAGACGTAGAAGTTTCAGCTCTGACTTATGTTCAGAACTTAGTGAGAATCTACATGTTGTAAGTGTGTTTGACTTGATCACTTGATGTCTTGGATTTCTTATTCGGCTACGAGTGATGTTAAAATGTCAAACAATACACTTGATCACAGGTTTGGACTCAGGACAACTGGTGGTGCAAGATCCAGGATGCTAGAGAAAGAAAGGAGAATTCCGAACAAGAAGGACGAGCAGGTGCCTGCAGCAAATACACCGAATCCATCGGTAGTACCAGTTCAGACTTCAGAGCTCATATGCACTCACATGACACCCTCTCTTCCCCTTTGCACTTTTCTGAGTTGTAAAGTCCTTTTCCTCGGTACTATGTAAGATTCGGCTACCTACCAAACCCAAACAAAAACGCATTTGCGTGTGCCGCCACAGGCAGATTCTGCAGTGGATCACTCTCTTTCTTAAAAAAAGAAAAAAGAAAAAATCGAGCTGATTCCAGCTTGCAGTCTTGCACTCTGAATTCTGGACAGTAACCTTGCACTATGAATTCTGAACAGTGACCTCTTCTGACTTCTCAGGGTTTTCTCAATATGTATTCCTTTGCATGACACAGCGGCACGCGAAATTTTTGAGAATTCCGTTACAAATTTGTTTGAACAAAAAATTGAAATATACTTCTTTAAACCTTTGAAACGAACGAATTAATTATTTTTTGAACGAAACTTTAAACCTTTGAGATCAACCTAGAGAAAAATGAGAGACAATATGAGTAGACGGCTATTGTTTTTCTTTTACCAAGCAGCTCCTGTGGAGCTTCTATGGAAAAACAAAAGAAACACGAAGGATCGTCTAGCTTTTTTTCCCGCGAACACACAAAAACATTAAATACATTACATGTCATATATTACTATACTAATATAGGGTTACTTTCCCATGAAATGAAAGGTAGTAACCCCGATATAATAGAGTACTAGGAAAAATTGAAAGAGTTAGCGATCACACAAATTAAGGAAGAAAGAGCATGAGACTTGTCTCTAAGACTAGTATCTTATTTCACTCCTTTTGTGAAAAAGGACCCACAAAGAAAGATGGGGAAAGCATGAAAATAGGAAAAATATCACGAAACATATGACATATATTGAAACCCAACAAATTGAAATGCCAATAGTTGATAAAATTGGCATTTTGGGTACCTTATATAATCTTTTTTTGAGACAAATTATCTCAATTAGAGAAGAAGAGAAAGAAAGAGTGATATTGACCTGAGCTTTGAGGATGTCTTTTCATGAGGTTCAAGCTCATTTGTGCAATACTCTAAAAGCCGGAAAAAACCCAAAGGCTCCTATGGCATTCCTGCAACCAAACTACCAGTTCCAAATACTCCCAAAATAGCATCTCAACGAATAATTACCTACCCAACGTTCCCTAGTGCCTAACTTCATACCATTTGAAATCCTGAGAATTTGTGAAGTAGAAGCAAAGAATACTACTAGTACATATATTACCTACCAAAAACAAAACACATGATGTCTTTGCATAATATTCACATGATCCAAAATGCAAAGAGCCAGCACTAGAATCAGATGCCCAACGATTCCTCCCTTTTAGCACCAACCTTAGTCCACTATCTGATTATCATCATCTAGGAATATTTATCACTGAATAACATCGACCAATCTTTTTTAGAGGAACCAACATGAAGTTAATTACTACAAAGAAAAATAATAAAGAGAGAGAGAGATTGAGATCATGAAGATTGGATAATAGTAAGAAATATGAACAGATTAGAACCTTTTTCTTTCCCTTTTTTTTTCTGAAATTAAACAGTATTGTCGTCCACTAGAAAAACTCCCTGTGTTACACATGTTGGGAATTGAAGCTAATTAAGCCATCTCACATCTCATGGTCATATCTCATATGTACTGGCCTTGTTCCAACGGCCTGAAATATCTAAACTCGTGTGGGCCCTTGCTGTCAGCCTGACAGCTGCACGCCTCCCCGCCGCGGAAGCCGAGGTGGTAGCAGAGGCAGACCGGCCGCGCGCTGGTGGGCGTCTCCGCCGGCGGCGAGCTCGGCGTCGGCCCGACCGAGAGCTCGAGGTTGAGGTCGGGGCACCGCGGCTCCCCCGTGCTCGTTGTGCCGCTGCTGCTGCGGCAGCCGTCGTCCGAGGAGTCGACCGGGCGCGGCGGCGGCGGCGGCTTCGCCACGGCGAAGATCGCCGCGGCCGCCGCCTTCGCCGGGACGGATATGGGATGCGGCGGCGGTGGTGCCGCCTTGTTGCTCGCCGCGATGCCGTCACCGCCGCTGAGCAGCGGGCGGTGCGTCTGCGGGTCGATGCCGCGGGCGAGGAGCTTGCGCTTGATGTGCGTGTTCCAGTAGTTCTTGATCTCGTTGTCCGTCCTCCCCGGCAGCTGCCCGGCGATCAGAGACCACCTGAAAGAAGAAGCGAAACCGAATTGAGAATCACAAGGAATTGATGAATGCTCCATCGATCGGTGGCGGCGGCGCCGGAGACGGGGGGAGGGAGACTGACTTGTTGCCGAGGAGGCTGTGGAGGCGGATGATGAGCTCGTCCTCGTCGTCGGTGAAGTTGCCGCGCTTGAGGTCGGGGCGGAGGTAGTTCATCCACCGGAGGCGGCAGCTCTTGCCGCAGCGAAGGAGGCCCGCCGCCTTGGGCAGCGAGCGCCAGCAGCCTTCGCCATGCGCCCTGATGTACGCGATGAGCCGCTGGTCCTCCTCCTTCGTCCACGCCCCCTTGTTCGTGTGCGCCTTCTCGCAGCACGGCGACCTCCCCATGGCCCCGCGCTCTAAGCTACAAATCCGCAACCACCGCGCGCGCCGCCTCGCTCTCTCGCGCTCTCTCTCGCTAGCTCGCTCGAGCGATTGTCCAATCTGCCCAGTTTCCAGGTGAGCCGCGGCGGGGGTACAGACAGACAGGAGGACACGGCGCGAGCTCGCCGGTATATATGGCGGGGCAAGCGCGCGCGAGAGAGGAGGAGAGGTAACTGAGCTCGCTGCGCCTGCGCGTCACGCGTGTGTTGACCCGGACGAGTTTGACCGCGGGAGAGGAGAGGTGGGTTGGGTGGTGGGCCCGCGCTCTTTTATTAATTATTTATTGTTATGGGTATTGGGCTTGGTGGTTTGGTAGTTACGGTTACTTTTCCTCCTCGTGGTTTTCTTTAATCTCAGGCGTTGGTGTTTACGGTTAGACGATGGATGGCCGAAGAGACTAAGGGGGTGAGGATGTTACGTTGTAATGTTACTACCGGTATAGTAATGTGGGTTTTATTTTACTATTATCTCATATATCAATGTCTATAATGATAATGTTATTATGATAGAGGATGTGTGAAACTAAAGTAAAGGATATTCGTTAGTATTTAGCAACGATCTATTGGATTGAGTCGGTTGACTGTTGTATCAAGGAACAACGCTAAGATGGACACTGTATACACTTCAAATGTGTGCAATAATGTCAACTCAAGTACGGTTGTACAGTGGAGGGATTTTCTAAGAAATTGCAATAGTCATATGGTCGTAAAAAACTACTTCCTCCGTTTCACGATGTAAGTCATTTATCTATTTAGATTCATTAACATCAATATAAATGTGAGAAATGCTAAAATGACAATATCTATATTCATTAACATCAATATGAATGTGAAAAATGCTAAAATGACTTACATTGTGAAACGGAGAGAGTAGTTAAGATTCATGTAATTTAGGGTGGTGAGTTGAATTTTTGATAGCTGGTGGTGCATATGAGTCGACTCCCGATGTTGTATAGGATTATTATGGATCATGTTTATCAGTCTTATATTTATGTTAGGGGTTGTTTGTTTCTATGTTACCTTTAATCTTGCCAAGTTCAATGATTTTAACTTTTTATTAATGCATTTTGTTTTGAAGCCTCAATGATATATAGGGTGACACGCCTTCATAGCTAGAATCGTGCCATGTAATCCTATGCTCATTTAGTAGCTAAATTTAATATAACTATATAGCAAACTTTTTAACCAACACAAAATTGCGGCTTTCCAGTCCACACTTGCAACACAAAAGGCTTTTGTAAACCTATGATTCCGATAATGCATCTAAACAAGACCTAACACTTATATTTCTCTTGGAGCTAGTATGACGATGAACTCAGGAAGTCATGATCAAATAACATGTTAACACATTTTACTATGGACCAGTTTTTCGCAATACCAGTATTGGAAGCACTCAAGATCATAAACTCTTCCGCGAACACAGATAAATAGTATTAAGAGAGCGTTTTTATTAGGTTGTTTAGATGAATTATTAAAAGTGTTGGAACAACTTTTTTATGACAAAATGGACATCTTGGTTCTATAAATAAAACATATTTAGACGATACATCTCTTAACAACAGCATCTTTCTTTAAAAACAGCATCTTTCGAATGAACGAAGTACAGGACAATATGCAGCGCAACCAACCACTGATTAGCTAACTCTCCTTTATTTATGAGTTGTAGTTGCACAACATCCTACCCTATTGAAGTAAGCAATTATTATAGGGGGTTGATTAGGTGACGTGTATCTGGTTAGCAGTTTAGGTTGAGGTTGGTACCTAGCCTCTGTGGCCTGTGGGCTCGAATCGGATAGAGAATCGGCTAAAGCTGTCCCGGGTCAAAACTAACATGCCAAGCTTCCCTTTTCGTTGGGAGCTACTTTGGTTTTGTTGGGTCGGTTGGGTCCCAATAAATTGGGTCGGATACCAGAAACATTACATGAGTTGATAAAACAAAAAATCTTGTATACTTTTTGTAAGAATCTCACTAACTATTTTCTCCTCTATGCATTGCAGACTGGACCTAACAATGTGATCATAACAGTCTGCTTGGAAAGAAATTTTTAGGTTATAACTTATTGTCCGAAGATTAGGGAGTGAATAACTAGATAGCTCAGCTTGTCAGGCTTATTTTCTGAACGAGCCAATTCGGCTTAACTAGTTAAGCTTACCAAGCTAAAACCTTGGCTCGGTCCAGCTCGTGAGCTAACTTGTTAAGCTCGTTGGACTCGTTAAGAAGCTTTGTCTTATTTATATTATCTTTATAAATTATAATTTATCAATTTATTATATGTTAATATAATAACAAACTCTAGTAACTTGTGAAAAAACTCACTAAATACAAATGTTTGGAAGTAATTAAAGGACTAACTGCTAGTCCATTCGTTTTAAGTTATAAGTCATTTTGACTTTGGCTAAAGTCAAACTGATTTAAGTTTGACCAAGTTTATAGAAAAATATAGTAACATTTTCAATGCAAGACAAATTTATTATAAGAATATACCCAATTATTGATTAAAGAAAACTAATTTGGTATTATAAATATTATTATATTTATCTATAAACCTAGTCAAACTTTAAGTAGTTTGACTTTAACCATAATCAAAACGACTTATAATATGAAACAAAGGGAGTAGTTAGAAACGATATGGCAGGCATTGGTCCGTGAGGGTTCGAAAACAAGGAATGCTAAACAACGGGATCCCGTCGGGACAGAATCCTCTTTCGTCCACCGCAACAATGCGAGACGAAGGGATTGGATTGGATTGGATTGGAGAGAGAATGGTGGCGCCGTCGTGTGCAATGCCATGGCCGGATCCTGCAAGGTTGCCATCCTCCTTCCTGCTTAAACCAGCAATGCAAGTGAATGAATTTTTTAGAGGGCTTGGATGCAAGCGAGCGATGCCGTCCAAGAAGCAGCGCCAGAAGACGGGCTTCTTGGACACCTCTTCCATCTCGATCGACCTCCATCAGCAGGGCGGTGAAGCCGTCAACGACGTGCTTGTACGAGCGGACCAGCCGCGGCTTGCCATCGGCGGTGGTGTTGCCGGGGAGGAAGGGTAGGTGCCAGCTCCGTCGTGTGCCGTCGTCGTCCATGCCAACGGCGTTGTCGTCCGGTCGCGGCCTTAGGAGAACGATGTACTGCTTGTACTCCAAGGGATCCTCTCCTCCTCCTGCTGGGGCGCCGATGCATTGGTGGTGGTGGAGCGCCGCCGGGGGAGGAATGGGCATGCGGTGCAGTGGAGATGACGAGGATCATCTAATACCTCGCTAGTATCACCTGATACGTGGTAGAATCGCATAATAACTGACAAGTATCACCCGATACCGGTTAGGTATCAGGACCTGATACCTCGCAGGTATTACCTTCTACGTGGTAAGAATCGCATGATACCTGATATGTATCATATGGTACCTCGCAAGTATCACCTGACACGTGGTAAAATCGTATGATACTTGACAAGTATCACCCGATACCGGTTAGGTATCAGGACCTGATACCTCGCAGGTATTATCTTCTACGTGGTAAGAATCGCATGATACCTGATATGTATCATATGGTATCTCGCAAGTATCACCTGACACGTGGTAAAATCGTATGATACTTGACAAGTATCACCCGATACCGGTTAGGTATCAAGACCTGATACCTCGTAGGTATCACTTTCTACTCCATCCGTCCTATAAAAAACCAACCTAGTACTGGATGTGACACATCCTAATACAATGAATCTGGACATATATCTGTCCAGATTCATTGTACTAGAATATATCGCATCCAGTACTAGATTCACTTTTTTAGGACGGAGGGAGCACGTGGTAAGAATCGCATGATACCTGATAGGTATCATCTGATACCTTCCAAGTATCACCTGACACATAGTAGAATCGCATGATATACCTGATAAGCATTAGGATCTGATACCTAACCAATATCATTCTGTTTTGAAACGAGATTCCAGTATATAGCAGCCCCTTCGAAAACACCTTCAACTCTGTTAGATTATCTAGCAATTCCGGTTTTTTTTATAAGACTGCTGATTGCTAATCTCGATCATATCGGAAGGTAGCTAGGAATTCTGGAATTGAATGATATGTGTTGAGATAATCGAGAAAACTCGATCCATAGCACAGCAAAAAAAGCGGTACCAAAAAATAGCACAAAAAGTTTCTACTTTCGATCCATAGCATAGGCCACCGATTTTTCTTCGCCCTATAGCACTTCCGTCACATTTTGAAGTAACGGCGTCAGATCGTAGTGGAGAATTTTTTTTGTCGGACACCTTTGCCCTTCGTTCCCCACGTTCCCCACCCTCGTGGACGGCGGCGCGGCGGCCATCGGCTTGCCTGGAGACCGCCTCGCCTCTCCGCCACTACCGAGCGAGCTGCGAACGCGCTCTTCAACAACATGGGCGCGTGGCTCACCGTCGCCGCTGCCGACGAGGTGGACCCTGTCTGGCACTCTACGCTGCTGATCGAGGGCGAGCCTCCCACGCCGGTGGCAGCTTGACAACGAGGACGACGACGATGACGTGGGTGCCACTAGCTTCGGCATGGATGGATGTGGCCCATGGCGCCGCAGAACAACCTCTCCCTCGCCACCACGCCGCGCGGCGCTGGCTTGCCGCTACTTCCACATGACAACGACGACGACGATGACAGTGACGGGGACGACGGCGACGGGGATGATGACCTGCAGGCAGGGCTGTGGCGCGCGCTGGCGGACGTTGGGATGATTCGCGAGCGGGCGGGCGGCGGGCTTTGTCTGCTTCGTGACCTCGGGCGGCACCGCCGCCAACGAGTAGGCAGCCAGGAGCCGGCGGGCCGGAAGTGAGACGTCTCCACCGCCTTCCTCCCATGCAGATCTGGACGGTGCTCCACCCCACGCGCGCGAATCCAGCGGCGGCGCGGCGGATCTGGTGCGGGCAACGGTGGGAGGCGTGGTGGCGGGCGCCGATCGGGAGTGGCTGAGCGGGCGGGCGGGCGGTAAGCTCAGCTCTGTCATCTCGCCGAGCGTCGGTGACACAGGCGCGGCAACGCCACCGAGGGAGAAGAGCGCTAGCTCGGGGAAGAAAGGCAAATGAGTCTTTTTTTCATGTCAACTCACATGTTTGGATGGCAAATGTGACGGAAGTGTTATGAATTGCAAGAAAATTGGTGCCCTGTGCTTTTAGTCGAAGTGAAAAATTTGTTGTGCTATTTTTTGG